GCCAATGAGATGAAAACGAGTATGATCAAATTACTAACCCAATCACTTTGACCGAGTCAGATAAGGTATGCTATTTAACAGGCAGTCTTTTAGGAGAGGACATCAGTTGCTCCTGTTTACCACGGACACAAGAAAGAACTCCAAAAACCTTCAAACAAGGTATGTTTACGTTTTTATACACATTTGTTGTATTGAATAGAAAAGAAGAATAGCATAAAGGACGAACAACAGTTTAAGAGGTGAAGAAACGCAAAGAAACCATGCGAATATATTTTTATTCTATTTTCTTTAACGGCTTACGACGACTCCAAGGTAATAATAATACTCTTTTTATTCGCTTCCAGCTCAAATTGTCGGCCATTATTTTGAAACTGTCGAGTGAATCTGAATATTCTGCTTGTTCGTCTCGCTTCAACTGTTGGGTGAGTGGTGATTATTTACTTAGATTTGTTGCCGATGGCTTACCGACCATCGATGTTGAATTCCTGATTGTAAGATTAATATAACCATAACTAGTCTTTACCAAATAACCAACAGACGCTATAGAGAGAGGAAGAGGAAAACCCTTTTCGGACCAGCTGCCCGTAAGCTATGTAAGTACGTACAGAAAAGATTGACAAACCTGGCTGGCTGGCTATAACACAGCTATGAATAATGCATTAGCCAATCAATACCAACGATTGTTGATGCTATAGGGATTCAAAGACAATTTCCCACTTGTATATAAAACATCTGTGGAATAAGAGGAACAGAGAAATCCCGATTCCAGACAAGGTCGGAGCAAATGGCAATGGAGTGAGCGGTCCGAAAGTGGAGACGTAGCTCCAAAATCACTGATAACCGCGTCTTCTTTTTCTCGTTTCTTCAAAATACCGAATTTATAAGCCAGCCACAAGCCAAGACAAAATAAAGAAAAGCTCTCAAACACAAGTGTTATATTTTTTTGACTTTTGGCAAATCCTACCCAAAACAAATGATTTCTAAAGCGGTTCTGGTTGGTGCGGATTATTCAACACATGATTCCCATATCTACGCGCTGATGCTCTAAGAAGTGTTATTCTTTTGTATCTAGTTGGAAACGATATGGTATATCCTATCTATGCGCTGTGACCATAGATAAGAGATACATCTGCTTACGTTTTGTCTCCAACAGTGGGAAGTTTCTGTAGACAGGTTTATTTAAATATTAAGGGATGTATTTTTTGATCTACTACTGCCCGCCGCGCGCGGCTGCTTACAACTGTGCTTAATATACAGCCGTTTTGGGGTCGCCATGGGGGCTTATTCACCAAAGATCCCGAGGATTATGCATACGAAAATCGAATAGAACATGGCGCGATTCACTTCAGACGGACAATAATCTACATACAAGGACATACCAAAAGCCTTGTTTTCTGAAGCCAGTTTCGTCATTACCACTCCATTGCACGAGTCCTCACAGGACAGGGATTGTGGTACCTCATCGCTGCATCATTGTTGGTGTGAACGGACTGAGAAGAGGACTTTATTGACCTCGTCAGTACGCTGTTTGGCATCGAGATGGAGCGGTTAAATAAGATTAGGGTTTGTGCTTGTGTTGACTGTAGTCAGCATACATTGGGAAGTAAATCTTT